TCTGATTTGCAAAGGGGTAGATGAATATAGAATGTATGAGACCATGGGGATTTGGGCCTAGGAATAACAAACATGTGATATGAATAGAGCCTGAGAGATGGCTGCATCCATGCAGCAGCTGTGCTGCTTTGTTTTCAGTAGGAAACAGCAACTCTCCAATATAAACTCTCTTTAAGCCCCTGTTTTGACCAACAGTATGTTGTAAGGGGCTTTCAATACAACATGGCAGAGACTATATTGGAATGGCCCAAATGTAGTTGTAGAGTTAATTCTGGGCTGCCATTTTCCAGTGCCATCATCTCCTGACAATAGCAGCTGTAAATGCTTGCACTTGCTGTAGAACCAGTGGGGTGAAAGATGCTATAGAAATGTAAAATGTTATGCTGTTACCTTTGTGGTTGACAGGGAAATAGCTTTTTGAATCAAGAATGATGCTGTGGGTTCTGCTGGTATTAGCTCTTCTAGAATAACGCAGCTGTATATTGCCTCTGAGGAAGCTGGGGCTTTAGTTCATTCAGGGCTCCTAGCCACATAAGCCTGCAGATCAAGAATACCTGTCAATTTAAAATCTTCCACTAGAAATATATTCCACTTGATAAATATGGAAGGGGAAGCAGCATGGTCCAGTGTACATGGCACTGCACTAAGCACCTGGCTCTGTCACTGACCTACTGTGTGACTTTACCCCATCTGTGTCTGTTTCCCCATCTGTAAAATATGGATAATTATACTTTGTCTCCTTTGCAAAGGATGTTGAGATCTATGTATCTAAGTATTGTTACATTTATTGCTGAACCACTAGGTTTACATATGCTGTTTTTATCCACTATATATCTAGCAGTCCATTGTGCATGGCACTTTTCTCTTTTAGTTTCTTTAGATACAGCTCGCTCAATGAACTTTCATGAAACTCTTGCCCCCCAGACTAACTGCAGGGGTGGGGGAATTCAGAAGTCTTAAGCCTAGGTTTCTATATCATGCTGCATTGGGCTAAAAATGTAAATGTTAGCAAGTTAGTTTTGCCCAACTAATATGTATTTTGATTGTGCAACTGCATGGAGCCAATGACCACTGTGATTTAAGTCACTTGCACCATACTAGGGTGGAGACAAAACAATCAGCCACCTCGCAGGACAATGAAGTTACAGCTGTGTCTAGACTGGAAGCGCTTGAGGGCAAGCAATGCATTTTATGATGTGCTTGTAAAGCACCATGTAAATTTACAGCATTATGTATGTGATGCTTAATAATATTGTAAATAATATAATTGGTATCACCACTCATGGTATTTATAGAGACCTAGTATACCTAGGGCCAGGTTTGCCAGAGAATGCTGAGTGCACTGGGGGAAGGGGGAGAAGATTGGTGGCTTACCATCATGTTTAATTCTTCTCAATCTTGGAGACTGATGTGAGCCATACTGGCCTCCACACAAGTTAGAGCAGCTTTAGGGTTGCTCTAACTGATGCCAATGAATAATGGCTCTCAAGAAGCCACTCCCCCCTTCCACCCTGGCATGCTCCTTCTTGACCTTGGAATACCTCTGATGCCAGGTAGGGAGGCAGGAGCAGAGCAACTGATGTATGGCTGGTAGTTGAAGATTCCCTTATACTAGGAGGACCCTCTGCTGCTGCCTAAAGGTAGCTTTAAGTCTTCCCGTGATGCACTGGGGATTTAGTAGAGGCTCTACATTTGTGCCCACTTAGAAAATCTCAACCATTATGTATGTTCAAAGCCAACTAGGAGATCTAGCCTAACAACAGAACTTCTATTAATTTCAGTGGGTGTTGAACAGCTAAATCCCCTAGATGGTTTTGAAAATCTCAACTTTCATGACTAAATTTTGGAAGGGAATTTATAAGTTAACTTGCATGGCTGTTTGGAGGAAATGGCAGAACCACCGTGCTTCAAATGGTAGGTAGTGGCCAAATTATGCAACTCCACTGATGTCACAGCAGATCTATAACTAAAAGCAGCATTTGGCTTGATACTACTGAAAATCAATAATTCTAGGCGACATGCACACATCATTATTGGCTAACCAGCTTATAAAGAGAAGTTCTGTATTCGAAGTCCTCTCCCAATGCTGAGCTTTGTAATAATACCCAGAGATTAAGATAAATGACCTACAGTGAGACTGCAATATTTTTTTCTCTTTTAAATAAGACATCATTCTGTCCATCAAAAAGCACTAGGCTCGTATGTGACAGTTGTAGTTCATTCATTATTTTACTTAATGTAAAATGTCTCTTGTATGTGTAATGAAATAAAGAATGAATTATAGTTCGACTTGGACCACTGCCTATTGTTAAAGTTGTGCAACACTTCCCAGTATAAGAACCTATTTTCAGTTGCTTATAACTTGCCAAATTTCAACCATTTGGGAAAATCTCAGTCAAAATGATTCAGCTGTTTTTGAGAATACGGTTAGGCTCATCTATGACAAAAAGGCTCCCGTTTCCCCCCCCCATGCACATTTCAAGTCCCTATTCCAAAGTGTGGAGGTGCTAGAACTTCTCAAAGTAAAAGTGGCTGGGCTGGGTTCCCAGCTATGCCACATACTTCTTGTG